ACCAATGTTAAAGTCATCCCAACCATGGCAAATACCTTTTGTTTAATGATGCAAAGCAAAGTTACAGGGGTTAGACAATGAAACTGAAACACCAGTCATTTTAGTGTGGGAGGTTTCGTGGTTAAATTGGACCAGCCTGGTGGCCAATCTTCATTAATTGCACATTACACCAGTAAGAGCAGAGTGTGAAGGTTCAATTAGCAGTGTAAGAGCACAGTTTGGCTCAAAACATTGCAATGCACACAACATTATGGGTGACGTACCAGAGTTCAAAAGAGGACAAATTGTTGGTGCACGTCTTGCTGGTKCATCTGTGACCAAGACAGCAAGACTTTGTGATGTATCAAGAGCCACAGCATCCAGGGTAATGTCAGCATACCACCAAGAAGGACCAACCACATCCAACAGGATTAACTGTGGACACAAGAGGAAGCTGTCTGAAAGGGGTGTTATGGTCTAAAACCAGGTATTTCAGTTTCAGTGTCTAACCCCTGTATGTTCTTATCTGTATGTGCAGTCTGTAGAGTCTAAGAACAAAAACATATTCCACCATATCATTAGTTGTTGGTTTACTTTTAGCTATTCCCTTCTTCAGGTGTTACCGCAGCCAACAGACTCATATGAACAATTTGTTTTATTCCAAACACCCTTCCTGACATAGCCTGGGCTCAAACCTGCAGCCTCAGTTTTAAAGGACTGCTGCACTGACCACCGAGCTACCATAGGCCCTCCAACATCTCATAATTAATTAAACAAAGTTATAATGGAAGAGCTGTGTGCAAAAACGCTTAATGTGTCCTGTGATTTAGCTGTAGAACCACTTTTAGCTGCAATCACCTGAAGTAGTCAGCTTTTGTATGAATTTATCAGTCTCTCACAGCATTTTTGAAGAATTACAGTATGTCTCGATCTTCTTTCCAATCTTGCTTCAGATCAGTGAGGTTTGCGGTTGCAGATGTTTGTTTCTGCAAAGCCCTCTTAAGATCCCACCACAGCGTTTTCATTTGGTTGAGATTTGGACTTGGACTCGATCACCCCAACATTCACATCTGTTGCATGACCCAGTCTAGGCCTGGATTTATCTGTCAGACAAATAACCTCACATTTGACTCTAAAATACCTTGATATACAGATGAGTTTAGGATTGACTTAATGACCAGTGCACAGGTCCTGTGGCTGCTAAATAAGCTCAGTTCATCACCCTTCCACCATCATTTTTGATATTTGCTATGATGTGTTTGTGCAGTGTTTGGTTTTATTGCTGTGCATTATGGACAAACGTCTCATCGGTCCAGAGGACATTGTTTCAGAAGTCTTGTGTTCATTCAGATGCAGCTTTGCAAATCAGAATTTTGTTGCCATATTGATTTTTGAAAGAAGAGGCTTTATTCCTGGCAACCCTTACAAACCAGCCGTATTTCTTCTAGTATATTTCACATTGTGCAGTTATAAACTTTAACATTTAACCTGATAACTGAGGGCTTATTGAGCTGAAACTCTTTTTTTAACTATTTCTCAGAACATTTACCATTCTGACCTTGAGCTGAGTTTGCTGGAACATCATCTTCTGGGAAGATTGTCAACTTTCCTAAATGTTGTCAAAATGTCCATGCTTTTTGGAAATGGCCTTATAACTCTTTGCAGACTGATGATCAACAATTCCTCTGTAAGGTCATTACCTCATCATCTTTTCAACTTTACATTTAGAACAACTTACAACTTTAAATTTAGTATCTCACGTGATGCTTACCTTTAATATACATAACATTAATAATTTGGTTTAAAATATTGTAAATTAATCCAAACAAAGACAGTTTCTAAATGTGAAGAGTTTGTAAATATTCTACTATTTGTTGACTATATGATTTTAATTAAAGGTCAAAGAGAAAGGAGTAGCTTCTTTGAAATAACTGAGTTCTGTCAAAGCTTTTTTCTCTCTTGGCAGAAACGACTGCTTCAAGGTCTGTGTGTTTTATTTTAAGTGTGTGCGATCTTAAGTGCTCAAAATGGCTTRGCAATGAGGTACTTGTTGAATACAATGCACATCATTCTGCCAGTGTAAGTGTTTGTTTTGACACTGTTCTGAACACAAACAACAACCATGGCTGCTTTGAGTCAGCTTTGTCTTGTGAGAGGTGAAGGCTGTCAATCATGTGTGCTGCATGATGGGATTTCCTGCCAAGGCCTCCACTGACTTTGCTTCAGGGATGTAGGACACTCAAACAGAATCTTCCTGGCATACAAACAAAAACACACAAAACATACTGTAGACTCTCTGACACTCTGCTCTCTGACTAATACCCTTTGCCAACCCTTCCATGTTGTGAAATGGCCGCGTTTCAAACAGTGGCTATGTTTGTTAGCCAGTGTACTCTCACTCACTCAGCAACAACAGACAGTAAGCCAGGCTCCCTGCCTGCAGTGTAACCCTGCTTGATCCTCTCTCAGACGCGCACACACACACACAGAGAGAGAAGAGAGGAGAGAGAGAGAGAGAGAGAGAGAGAGAGAG